ACAGAGGAAGTAGCGTGTTCTTCTGAGCTCTTTCTTGTTTCTTGGACCATAAAGAACTCCAGTCATCCAAAACACTTTCTTTCATTTTCAGAGAGCCAAAAACCTATCTCAACCACCACGGTTTGAAGCCTGCATATAGCAGTCACATCTTGCATGCCTCCTGGGTGCATACCACCAACGCCTAGTCCCAAACGCTCAGCAGTGTCTGCTGTCCCTTGGACACAGCCTCTGCCTTTCCAGAGTATTCCCCACCCCACCCCACACCCCAGGACTTGATTTATGGAAAACCACCAACCAATCTTTCCCACTTTCCCCTCCACCATTTTCCTGGATTCCATAACTCCAACTTTGCAACACCCAAGATGCCACAGTAGTCATCATGTATATTCAGGCTAGAGTTATAGTTTGATCCACCTTAACCAAAATAGAATGATTTCCTTGGATTATGGCACTTGAAACAGCCAATTTACCCTAAAGAGGTGACACACTGTATCTCACGCATTTTTCAGTAAATAAAACTTGATGGGCAGATAAGTCCTTTACTTCCTCTGGGCCTTGGTATTCTTGAGCATAAGGACCACTGAGATAATGCATATGAAAGCCACCCAACACAGAGAAAAACATCATAGCACAAAATAAGAACAACCGCCACAAGCCACTACTTTTCTGTTTATTTCTGACTAAAGAAAAAAAAAAAGGATAAATGCCAAAAGGAGTGAAAAAAATAATAAATGGGTTCTGGAAATAAAGGGATATTCCAAGGTCATGCTGACTGTAGGAAGAAGCAGCCCACCTAGTCCAATGTATTTGCCTTGCTCTACCAGTCCCCACAGTGACCATCCAACCCTGTCTTCCAGAAACTTAATGCTAATCCGCTTGTTCTTCTGAAAATCTCAGCAACAGATCTCCCTTCCTAGTTGGTGTTTTTCATTCTAATCATTAGTTAGAATGAAAACACTGAAGACAACTGAGATCGCCTGTGTTTCCTTCACTGGGTGACTTTATAAAAGGATGAGTGAACCAGTCACTCTTGAGCTTTGATATCCAGGTCATCAAAATTAAATGGAGAAAAAGTTCAGACTCAGAATCACATGGCCAAAAGTAACCCTAGAAACCACCTCACCTAAGAGACGATAAGCTCAAGATAGAAACCTGCCCAGTACTAAACAGTTATTTGTGGAAGAGCTAGTTCTTGAACTCAACCTTCAACTCTCAGGATCTTTCCAACCACCAAGATTAGTACTAAGACTGCTTGTCATTAGACCAAGCATTAAGTACTTGGAGCTCCTAGTACATAGTAGCACAGTAGTACCAATACGCAAATCTCTGCAAATCAGTCACTCAGCAAGTGTATGTGTCTGATAAAGGTTCTAAAACAGCCACCTTCTTCTGATCCATCAAGAAGCATCTAGGCTGGGGATGGTGAACATGGGGACCACTATGATAAAGTAGTGGGGGAAAGTTTGATATAAACAATGTCGCTTCTGTGGAAGAAGGCAGAACACAAAAGGGAAAGCATGTAGGAGCTACACAGGATGAGGAAGAGGATGATGGAAGTTGAGGTACCAGCAATCTCTAAAAGAGAGTCTTCCTTTCCTAGGGTTAATAATAACACTCTAAGTCGCTATGCCTACCGTCCTTCCATGGTCATCAGGTAGCAAAGTGTCCCGGGGAACAGCCGCCTCAATACCTCCCTATCTCCTCGAGGTAGGTTAGGAGGTTTTCTGAGGCACCTCACAATACTTAGGGAAGACTTCTCTTACTGCTCTTACACAGTGCTAGCAGCATTGTCCACAGTCACACAGCCAGTGTCTCTGCCTCCAGGCTGGGCTCCTTGAAGGCAAAGGCTCATTTTATTAATCCCAGAGCAATGCCCAGGACATGGCAGTAACTCACTGACTGCATGACAAAAAGTCTTAATTCAGTCATCACCAATTCAGGAACTTCAGTTCAGAGTCAGTTTGGGTTGGAATCCCCTGACTTAGATTGACTACGCCTATTCCACATGCCACAGCACCAAGGTAGCTCTTACAGAACCATCAGCCAACCTAACAAATTACCTGAGTGCTTGTCTGAATCACCGACTAGACTGACCCTTCTCTGAGGGTAAGAATTGTCTCTTACCATCCCACTTAGACACCACAGGAATTGAGCTCGTGCCTTCAGAATGAGTTAGGTGAATGAAAGAGCGCCAAAGGAAATGCTGATGGAGTGTCTCCATCACAGAGACACTCAAGAGTCTCCAGGAAAACGTATAGCCAGCTTATGGAGGGAAATCTCTGAGTAGAATCGCAGGCATTTCTCACAGCCTCTGCTGCCAGGGAAGACAAACAAACGTCACCTGTATTGGGGAACAAAGACTGGAATGAGCCCTCCTTCAAGTCTCTTGCTAGATGGCACCTGTTGCTAAAATAGCAGCTGGTAAGCATTTTGTTTTGTTCAAAACAACAACAAAAACAAAACCAATCTATTGCAGGAAGCAGTACCGCAATGACAATGAGAAATCATGGGGCTAAATATATAGCAGGAGGAAGTACAGAATTTTAGCAATGAAAGACAAGGAAGGAGCTGTTGCAGCCTGAGGAAAAGAACTGAAGTGTTGATTAGAAATTGCTCCGCCTGCCTTAAAGCGAAGCAGGGGAGTAGAGTGTTGGTGAGAGAAAGCATGGGGGGAGGGGAGGGCAGGAGAGGACGAATGTGGTTTGTTCCTGGCTCTCTGTGTCATTTTTAATCTGCTTCCCCCCCCCTCTCTCTCTCCCTTTTTACCATATCTCTAGAGAGAATCCATTGATTGGGCTGGACCGGAATTTCTTACCTTACCTTGTATGGTTCCTGTGTGAGGAATGAGTCTAAATCCCTCTCAGCCTTGACTGCTCTCTCTCTCTCTCTTTCCTCGGGCCCCCTCTCTGGCAGCCATTGTTAGCTTCTCATACTTTGCAGGGGCTGAGAGGCGCCTTGTCCATCAGCACCTCTGACAACAGGGAATGGGAGGGGGCTCGTGGGATGTCAGGGGGTACTCAATGGCATCACAGGAACCAGCCACATACAGAGATCACCCCTACCATCTGACAGCTGAGATACCCTGCTAAGTAAGTAACCTGTTGCCTGTTTCCAGGCAGAAACAGCTCTGCAGGTGCAGATGGCAGAAGGTACAGACAATGCAGCACCTCCCTCCAAACAAAAATAAAGCACCAGAGCCTCCCACAAGAAACCCAGTGAAGCAGGTGGAGCTGGTGCAAATCAGACTGGCTAGGGTCGGGGCAGGGCTGACATCTAGCCCCGGGGCCACAAATATGCATATTGTTTCTCTGTACCTCTATTTCTATAAGCCAGGGGGGCTGAGTTCCTGTGGTCCCTCCGCTAATAGGATTCCATTTCATAAGAAACTGTTAGCCATCTAGAGAGACCATATGTTCTTCTCCCACTCTCTGTGAGTCCCCAGAGCACTTCTTCTCTTGGGCAGACCCAGTAGGGGGCAGGGTCCAGAAAAGCACCTCTGACTCATGGAGCGCTCCTCAGACGCCTGGCTGACTTCAGAAAAGCCTGATGACAGAGGCTGCAGGCCTAAGTTCCCCCTTGAAGATGGCACTGAGCAATAGAGACAACTCTGAGAGTTAGAATCTGTGAGGGTGGCGGTGGAAAGCACTGGGAGGCCAGAGGAGGGGGAAGCACGGATCAGCCAAACCCTAGAATTAGATGATTCATATCTGAATAATGTGGGAGGGATGAACTCCAAGCAGCCAAGATAAGAGGCTAACTCTGCGGAGGGCGCCCCCCCACCTCATCCCGGGGGGGGGGGCAGGAACGGTGTTAGGGCCTATCATTTGCAATAGGAAAAGAACTCAGGCAATTGATAATCTCATTCTGAAGCTAAAGAAGATAGAAGTGTTGGCCTTTCTTCCTCCATAATGTATTTTTTTCCTGCGTCTGTGATTTGCTTTGGTTGTTTTAAGCTGATTCGAATTCCTGTGCCACCCCCTCATCCCCCTCCCACAACCTAGTGGATGCCCTAGAGGATACAAACTTTCTTCTTGTTCCTGCTATTTGCTCTTTTCTCTTCTGCCGCCCCCATCCTGTCCCGATGACCTTTTGACACCTTGTTCTGTTTCCTTGACTCTGAAACTGGTTGCCTCTGACCCACCCCAAGCCATTCAAACCCTCCTTGCTCTGCTCCATCTAACCTCCAGCAGGGCTACTCTGTGCATCTCTCTGAGGTGGCCACCCCAGGGCCACCTTGTTCTTTATCCCAGAGTTGCCACACTGGACAAAGTGTTACAAACAAGGGCCTCTCCCAGGACCAGAAGATGGGAAGAAAGTTCACCAAGGGGGGGAAGGGCAGCACCAGAGGCTCCAGCAAAGTTCAGTGCCTCTGAACCTCCATGCAAATTAACCTCATTGGGGGGAGGGGAGTTATCTATTCTCTTCTCCACAATGGTTCCAGTGAGACTGATCAGGCCTTAAATTCCAGGACCAATCAAGCCTGTTTTCATCTTCCCAAACTCCTTCCCCTGTAGCCAGAGAGCCACAGAGAATGCCCCTGAGTCTCTCCCTCCTTCTCTAGGGAAGTAGCTGCCCGCGCCTCCAGAAAACGAGTCCTCTTCATGAATCAACCCCTTCAGAGCTTTCCCCAGGCATTACCCAGGACTCATAGCCCTAAAAAACTCAGGGAAAAAGAGAGGAAGCACCATTGTCTGGAGGGGAAATGTACATCCTAAGAACAACCTCACAGCGCTAGTGAGTCTAACACCTGCATCTTCATCCAGTTCCTTTGCAATCGGGCTTCTCCCCTGCCCCCCTCACCACCAATCAACCACACACACACACACACACACACACACACACACACACACACACACACACACACACACACACATCCAATCCCCCCCACACACACACACACACACCAGCAGCAAAGGAGGAAAATAAGGGTGGAGTGGACCACCACCACTGTGGGAAGAAGACATGTAAAGTTATCCGTCGCCGTGGCAAACGACTCTTACCTGTTAACCAGAACACAGCGGTCCACCCGAACACGACCCTGTCCATCTTGTCCATCTTCCCCAACTTCCCATCCAGATGGGGAGTGGGGAAAGTCGGCAG